CTAAATAGATGGAAAGATATAAGGTAAATAACTGAAAATCAAGCCCCTCGGCTGGAAATACCGCCATTGAAACGTTATGAGAAGATTAAGATCTCCCACTCAATGAGTTTGAGTGTGAGTGAGCTTTTAGAATACAGGCGTAAGTCTTTGTTTTAGTCATATGTGCTAATAAAAGTTCGACGACAGGACATTATATACAGGTTTCAGTTTTATGCAGTTTCCCGATGTGAGTAAATACAATTTAGTAAACATAAACTGTCCAGTTTAGCTCCCCGAGTAACGCATTGGTAAAATGTTGTGACGCATTTTCAAAACAGCATGTATCCGATTTGATATTTGTCTCCGTAAATCCCTTTAACTGTACTAATCTTAAATTACCAACGAATGCTATTCCGGGTTTTACAGACTCGTTTCCCATTACAATTTCTCATTTCTCGTTCCTTTCCTCATTCCCTTTCCCAATTCCTCGTTCCTGTTTTTCGAGGTGCTATGAGTTTCTACATGCAGTCGCCAGAAATGATTTATAGACCTAGCTGTTGCCTGTATTTTAGTACTGTAAATTCACTTGGCCTGGCCTCTGTCAGGATATCTACAGCCCTCGATATTTGATATATTGATATAAGCATACAGGCCAAGTTAGACGTGCATGGCGGCTACGGCAGCTGGTGTTTACACTTTCATATACATAGTATTATGAATTGTTCGCTGTTTATAACAATTTGTGATATTGTTTTCAAATAGTTAGTTTTAATAGAGCAATGGCCAATACACAGCTTCTCAATAGTTTGTCATAAAATTGGGATATTTCAGTACATGTATATACGGACGGTAATAATATGAAACATCTATTCAATATTATATTAGCTACCTGAAATCCACGCAGCAGAAGTAAAATGCAGGAATTCTGAACTTTTTGAGCCGTCGAAGGTAAAATAACCAGCTAGTAGCTTTGTTTGCTATATACTACGAGTCGTTCAAGATTATATTTGAATGAGGTAAACAGGAAGAGCGATATCAAGACAGAGGAATAAAACTTCACATGTCTGAACGAATTTCCGGTATCATGGTACAAATCTAAGCGGCTTTAAACTCTCTAAACCAGAACAGCACCTATATTTTTATTCCAGGAGATAATGTCAAAACATTTATATCATTTATAGATCTGAGTGAGGGGGGTTCAGCGAAATATTTCCAGAAGTGATGATATTTTCCAAGGGCTTCGCTTCGACCTATATTTGTATTTAAGGTGATGATGTCAAAACATTGTACATTAGACTGCAGACATCAATAAAAAATTGTACGAAGTTTTACGTAATGTCATTATTTAGCATGCCTTTATTCTGCCTGTAGGCATAATTGAGTTACTCATCACGGAAAAACATTTCCGAAAACCAAAATACATGCTTTATCTTATATTTGGACATCCTGTGGAGTCACAAAGAAATTCAGTAAGGTGTCAGTTAAGCTCCCCCCATTTACGTCAGATGTGTTATTCGCGATCGAATATTTGTGACCTTGGGTTCGCCATTCCGCCGATTCGAAGCTCTAAATCATGATAAATTGCTGACCTAGGTAGGCTTATATGCAATTTTCACCAATTTTGCTATTTTCTTTTCATATATAGCACGAAAATATTTATCCACTCGGAAGCTTAAAGTTCGATCCACCTTTGTATGGAAATTAAGCGGATTAATCAAGTAAATTACGCATGTATAGCCATATATGTAACCATACGATTACTCTTATATCGGTAATAAACACAATGGTGTATTTGGCTTCGGTTACACAACAAGTTGCGAGCGCACTAAATAAACTTATTGATTCGCAATTAGTTTAGCCATGCGGCTGATTCAAAGTTTTTACAAGAAATAATATATACAACGATTATAACAATGACACTATTAAACAACAATACTTAAACAGGTCATATACGTACGTACACAGACATATGGGGTAAAAGCAGAATGAGTTAAAATGCAACATGAATTTCGCTGGCGAAGTTAATTTTGTCATGCATTTATAATTTAATAGCCCGTACACATCCATTTCATAGACTATTGTATATCATCGATCAGTTAAAAGGCCGTATATAGCCGATGTACACGCAAACCTTTATGCTATCCGGTTAGCATTGATGCAAGAAGTATGCATGCTACAGGATTTGTCAACGCATACCTGAAAAATTTTCTCCGGTAGAATGTAGGTTCTGTTCACCAGCAGCCTAGTCTGCTCTCCTTCGAGATTGAAATTGAAATGAATGGAACACTGATAATCTGATGAATAAATAATGAGAGCGGAATCAATGGAACGTGCATACTTGAACGATTTCTCTGCTAATTAAATTTCATTAACATCATTATCATCATCATCAATGTTTAGACATCCGGCCTGTGGGACACCTCGGGATGTGGGAGGTATCGTGCTAAGCACCTCCTACTCACGTGAAATGAATGAATGATTCCGAATGAATTATACATCGCTACGTACTGCCTACAAAGCTTATACTGCATGCATAGAAATTTTCAGGTTGAAATTTACACGAGGGTTTGTATGTAATTATTCGATTAAACAATCCATACGTGCCATTAAAACACAAATATCCCGCAGATTCTTGCAATTGAACAGGGTGAACGAAAAATTACCCCCCTATTGAAATCAAGATTTTATTAAAATTTGAATTCATTATTATTATACATGCTCCACGGATTCGTAAAATTGAAAGCAAGATACTCGAGGGGCTGATTACATGGAGTCTTTTCAGCCCGGGTCAGTTTACAGCAGTGGTTTACAGGGCTGAAAATTTATCCCGGTATTGTTATGAAATGCCGTCCTCGCGATTATATAATAATAATTTCAGCGTGGGCTGAAACTTAGTGTTGTTGTCATGCATGTAATGGTAAACAAACTTATTTCCGGACAGAAAAATACTGATAAAAAAGCAAATTAAGGCCGTTCAGATGTATTTCGTCAAACAGTAAATTCTGCTCTGCTGCGTGTGATTAACGTTTGTCGCGTGTAAAATTTGATGCTTGAACGACTGCATATACACTTACAATTCCTTAAGGCATTAATGTCCTGTTTAAATGAAGCAAGTTATGACACTTATTCCGGTTAGGCGAGGTAAAAAGTGCATCACATCACAACCTGATTAGTTTTTCATTATATGCAGTTTTCACCTCGCATATAGCCGGGATAACTCGCTCCATGAGTCCATGTAAAAAGGGCCTAAGTTATATATACGGCAAACTTGAAACAACACTGCAAACCTTACCAGGATTTACTGTTTGGTAAATCGTCCTTGTGAAGTGAACGAGTTTCCACGAACTTAATTGTATTTGCTTTTCTTTCATATGGCACGAAAACACTTAACTGAAAAGTTTAATTTATTTTCACAGCTCTGTTTAAAAAATAATCCATTTATATATAGCGCGCATATCCTAAAAAGTCCAAGGCGATCCGATTAATGTAGTAGATCACGCACATATAGCCATAACTATACATGGACACATATTTATGTTCTCTTGGGATAACCCTTGATGTAATAAAACTCGAATTAAAACTGTGTGTATTGAAAGGGTGTTTGGCTTTTTTATTAAGGAGCGAGCTATGAGCTGCCCCAAAGTTACCGTTTCGCAATTATAGTTACCGATCCAGAAATTTTACAAGAAATTTTGGCCAACTAGCTGTATGCCATGGATTCGTAAAAGGCCTACATACGTAATCCCCCCATATGTATATAACATTGTTCCAAGATGTATACAGGATTTATCAATGCATACCTGAAAATTCTTCTTAGTCTAATCACACTGCGGTCAAATATAGCTTCACCAGTAGCTTAGCTGTCTTCCTTCTTGATTGAAATTGAAGCCGTGAATCGAATCCTAATAATTTGATAAATAAATAATGATAGCGGAATGGAACGTTTTCTTACAAGCAAAATCGCTTCTAAACAGGGAGATATCGCAACTGACAGTTGCTTGATAATCACCTACCGTCACGCATTGCGCGCTTAAAAGCCAAAACAGGAAAGGTCTATTGAAATCAATATTTTATTATAATTTGAATGCCTCATTATTATGCTGAGCCCTTGGATTCGTAAAATTGAAAGCGAGATGCTTAAAGGGACCTGTTTACCTGGAGTGAGTTATCCCGGCTGACGAGGAAAAAAGCGCATCACATCAAAGACTCCTGATTAGTCTTCCATTATAATTATGCACTTCTCACGTCACCTCTATTCATCAGGCCCTTTATTTCAATTGCCTCAAACTCATTTCTATGCCATTTACCCACCAGGGACCGGTTGTATAAAACTCATTAACTACGTTTTGCATAGTTTCATCCTAGTAAACTCTAAATACACGACCTTCGTTGGGGAATTCTGTCCCTATAACAGCTATAACTACAGTTAATTTCCTTCCATGACCTTCATAACAGAAAAATTACCGCCGATTTAGGTGCTCTAAGCGGATCGCAGCCTTTAAAAATACTTGCATTTCACTTATTCCCACGGAAAGGAAAGTCTTGCCGTTCTTAATATCAACGATCATGTCTTACCGTTCTTAATAATTATTAACGATCAAGTCTTACCGTTCTTAATATTAACGAAATGTATTCCCAATAAAATTTTAAAAAGGGCACCCGATCGTACACACGAAAACATTTATAACCAGAAAATATTCCACCTTCTTATAAATTTTAATATAATAATAAAACATGAAGTAATTAGTGTTCAAAGTCCAATGAGCAATCGAATGAAGACTGTTTGAGCTGTTCCTCGCTCGCGTTGCTAGTATCGGTTGTTGCATATTCAACTGAATCAAAGCTGCATGGCCAATGCATACGTCGTAGGCGTAGTGCGTTTCGTTTGAATAGGTATAATTTTGTCTTTTCAAAGAGGGAGATGGCGTCTCTAAATATGCACCGTTCAATTCATCAGCAAAGAGTTGTTTCAATCAAAAAGTCCATAATGTACCTGTTTACATGCAGGATGGGCCAAAGCACCCTAGACAACGGTGACGTCTTTGATTTGTATTTTTTTAAAGGTTTATATTGATAGAAAAGACCAAGAAATGGTATCTTTTTTAAAAAAATTGCTTATAATTCAATCAATAACAACTAATCAATTTAACGTGAGGAATTTAACTTTTGAATGAATTCATGACCCATGCTAATTAACTAAGAAAGTAACTATGATGTATATTTAACCGTAAATCTAAAATCATAAATGCATTCAGTTAATCTTTCCCTCTTTTTCCAACTTCACTCTCTTCATGTGACGTGCATAAATTTGATATGGCGATTTAAAGCCACTTTCCAAAGCTCCTTGAATCCAGCCAGCCGTAAATGATATGTTTTCACCAGCAAAATGCACATTTCCCATCGGCTCCCACAAATACCTGTAATTCAGCGAAAAAAAATCTTTATAGGACCCTGGGTCGTACCTGAGAAACCATAAAGAATAATTTTACATAAAAATCTACCAATATCCTGGATCCGCCACTAATAACACACACTCAATAGGGGAAACATAGTAAGGAATACCCACCGAAAACACAAATACAGGCAAAAGATATTACTTTGAGGGCGAAAAAATATGATGTCCCATATTTAGCATCAAATGTGGTATAACAACTGCCTAAGATAGACAAAACACTTCTCGAAGTTTTCTCTATTTTAGGCAGTTTTTATGGCCACATTTGATGCTAAGTTTTTGAAGACGCTGCCACGCTGCTTCCTGGTTATATTTCCCATATTATTTTAAAATCAAGCAACTAATTTCAAACATTTTCGAAGTAGCCTCTTCGGCCACGATCAACATGTATACTTTGTTGCGCCAGGGAGAGGTCCCTTTTTCCCATTATAATGGTCCCCACACTCGAAATTCCTTAAAAGAGGCCATGAACGAAAATCCAACGCCACGAACGACTTTGAAGTCGTTTTATACGGCTTAAACTTGAGTCCTAAGCATGAGGTTCGAAGTATTATATGGGATCAAATTCCCTAATTCATTAACTTTATTTTCGATGCGAAAAGTTTGTCCAGCGTATTATCAGATCATGCAGTGAAATTAGATCATATGATCAAAAAGGGAAAGTCGTGCAAAATTGGGGAATAATTAAGTGCTCGGGTCTGTGGTCTCTTTTGGTGTCATGACTGACATCTCATTTGCATCCATGCTGACAGGTAAACTAGCTTCGTTGTTTTCGGCAAAAAGACGCTGTGAAAGAAAGTTGAAGGCGAAGAGACACACGAGTCTCGGACTTAATTGCCCCGGTTGTCAGGAATAATAGTAAATAATATGACACCTGAGTTACGTAAGAGGATATATTTTTTGGTCGAACGTTTATATGTCAGTTCAAAAATTCATCTTTCCAATTACATACCTGATATTGTTGTATTGTGTGGTCTTCAAGAGTCCATAGGCACCTTGATAAGAGGGTTGGTTGTACCAAGCATGGACAATGCATTTTTCAACTGCCCCTTCTATTTCAGGGTGGATTTCTGAAATTTGCTCAATGGCTTCCTTCTTCGCTTGCTCTTTGGTCAAGGAACCAAAAAGCAGTGCTTCATTTTTCCAGGTGTAAATCAGAATTATTCCTTGCTTGGTGGACGCGAGATAGTCAGGATCGGGCTTTACGTAATGTATTTGACCGATAGGTAGGTTGGTCTTAGAAAAGCCACCTTTGATGCCATACTTCTCCTCTTCCCAGAATCTGGTCTTGGTTTGCAGGATAATCTTTGTGGAAGGTCCTGTAAACATGTCTTCAATTGCTTGAAGATTCTTTCTAAGAGCTTTCTTGACCTCTTCGTCAGGTCGAATTGGCGCAAAAGTGATTTGTCGCAGTATGTTCACTTGAGGGGTGACAATTACGGTCTGAATACAAACAATTTAAATTACACACAGAATTTAGAACTGTAAATTAATACATCAACATACACCGAGTCTTTCTTTAATTAGGCTAACTGATATTATTTTCCTCCCTAATTTAATGCGTATTGCGATAAAAATTTTGAATAATTATTATGACTTTTGTGATTTAACGCACGTGCGTGAGAAATGCCAGAATTGATTACACAGATTTCAACAAATTCTTGTAAATTAACCTCACATTTTTATCTAGTGAACGTCTCTTTTATTCTCTTTTATGATAATTGTAATTTAGAAGACTCACCCGTGCTTTGTATGTAGTCTCTGGTTCATTTTCAGTGGCGTAGCAGGTTACCATTACGCAATCCTTGCTAGGGTCAGAGGGCGAGGAATAATACGAAATCTTGCAAACTTGTTGGTTATTTTTCAAATCATCAGAACTGAGCGGTTTCGGTCGGTTTGGACTGAAGAATGCTTCAGGTATACTGTGCATACCACCAACCAAGGTGTGCATATCAGCTGACCACCAGTGTCCCAGTTGATCGCGAAGATACTGAACGAACGATTGATCTAGTTGCTGTGTGTAAGAAAACACTGAGTAGCCACGAACTGCATCGTCGGACCAAGGCAAAAGGTTTTCAAGCATGTCAATGTCTAATGAATCCAGATTATCACACCCATCGCATTCCAATTTTGCACGAATAACATTAGCATTGCTCTCCAGAAAGCTCTCCAACGTAAACTGGCTCCAAATGTTGATCCAGCGATCCCAAACTGCGATTTCTTCTTTATTTGTGGTTGTTTTATTCAACCAGGCAATCAATTGGTCGGTGACAACGCTGGTTGTTCTGTCGTAATAATCACCTAAACATTGTTACAAAAAGAAAAAACGAATTAAACGACGATAATTTAAAATGTTCTGAAGCATTAGTACTGTAGTGCATAGTGCCATATTTTATAGGGCGAAGCAAGTTTATGACAGGAGTTCTGAAAAAGATTTCCCCACAAAAGTATAGTTACATAAAGCTGTTTATTCTAATATTATATTGTATAAATTTCCAGGTGACCATTGATTTTCCTGCATTTTGATTGGTCAAGATTTGCTATCTCCGAAACGATACTGGTCGATGACTATAGCTTTTTGTTGTTGTTTTTCAAATAAGATATTTGAAGTAATTATAAATTTTTATGAAATTATGTTGATTATTATTTGTAAGCACCTCGACATTTAGGAGTGATGCTTGAAAATGTTCCCAAAATTGGACGAGCCGCTATTTTTTTTTAATATTTGCATAAAAAAACCGTACAACTTTCGTAGCGCTTTTCGGCGAACTTTTCGGGCGTAATTTTCAATACAAACACGATAGTTTAAAATACAGTCCCAACAGACTTTTATCCATTTTTTACTTTTCCTACTCAGTATTTTTAGTTACCCCAGGGCCGTTTAACTTGGATACAAAAAACGTTCCGCTATTTTGTTAATCTTAGCAAAATCAGTAATGAAATGAAATATCATCCGAAGAATCAGCATACAGTAATTTTAGTAAGCTAATACGACAAAGAATACCAATATTTTTAATAACGACGTCCTTTTCTCCTTTCTTCTTGCATCCCGTCTTAATTCCTTTCCTCCAGTTTGGCCAAACAGTGTCGAAATGGTTTTTTTCCCAGGCTAATAAAAAGGATTAAAAGAATAATGTTTAGTTTCATGCGCAGGGCCGCCCAGAGAGTTTCGGGGGCCCGAGGCTGAATTCTCGTTAGGGCACCATAATCTACAACAAAAAAGCGCCATTATAAGTCGATGTAAATGTTAATGCGATAATGCATGGCCTAAGATTTCAGAGGTTAAGAATGGTAAATTTTTGGGGTTAGAGCACTGTTAGGTGAGTTTGCCATCCTCCCCCCAAAAAATTTGAAATTTTAGAGTGCAGCAAATGTGATTTCCTGTGTTTTTCGCGGTGAGATATCTGCAATACGAATATATGTTGCATTACCTGCAGGGGTCGATTGTATAAAAGTAATTAACTACACGTTGCATAGTTAAATCCTAATTAACTCAGAAATACACGACTCTCATTGGCGAATTTTGGGCTTAACTACAGTTAGAAGTTAACCAGTTTTTTATACCACTCCCTTTGAACCATAAATAACCCAACGTATTCTGAAACAGGACAATATACTTCCAAAAATATAGTTTAATTTCATTCTTGTAGCATTTTGGAGGTCCTTTCAAACCCTGGACCCGGGAAAAATTGTCCCCTTTGTCCCCCCTATCTTTGAGCGGCCTTGTTCATGCGCATGCGCTACGGAAAGCCCAGAGACAATGCCACAAATTCATCACCTAATGAGACAGACATCGTAATATTCAACCTCGTTCCCTGAGCCTTTTACCTTGATTCTGGGAACGAGATTGAGTGATAGTGACGCCGTGAAGAAACCACTATCACTTTAACATGACAATAGGATCGAAACACATCAAAGTCATTATCATGCAGTTGGATTATTTTGATAATGAAAATTAAGCTATGAAAATGTAGAACGGTGAAATTTATCAAAATTGAAATTGATTCAATCTAGCATCACATACTTGCTGTTTTTTCCTTCAATCCGTAAATATTGGAAATGCCATTTTCATCAAAGTTTGGAAACTTTTTTATGCTAAGTTTAAATTCAGTGATATATCCATCCGTTAAAAAATGAGCTCTATTGTTTGGTTCATCCACACCACCAGGTAATCTCATCGCTCCAGCTAAGAAAAGAAAAAATTTAAGGCTTGGGTAGCCATATCAATGATTTGTTAAACTTAACTTCCTAATAAATTCAAAATCATTTTGTGAAGTATTTTTAATCAATTATGAATTTGAAGTCGTGTCTTTTTAAATCTACCTTCGCCAAATAAACCAGGTGCAAGGCCTGCATCTTTTCCATAAGTGAAAACTCTTCCACCATAACGATCAGTCTGCTCCAGGATTTTCACTTTTAGCCCAGCTCTCTTCAACTCATACGCTGCAGCAAGACCAGCCATACCAGCTCCAACAATAATCACGTCATATTCAACATCCTTTGGTGGAACATATTCCTGGGATGCGCTTATTGTCGGAGGAGATGGGCCAGGTGGACAGTCGCCGTACTCCAAATAGGCCGCATTCAATCCTTCTTTCTGGATCTTCAGCATAAAATCTTTTAAATAATCACTCTGTTGAATGACCTTGGTGCCTTGTTCTTTCATTCTTTCCTTAAATGTTTTCACTCCCTTTAAAAGGTGAGTATTGCTTAAAAGAAAAGATGTTGCCATTGTCCTAGAAAAGATGTAATAGGAAAAAGACACTAAGATATGGGATATTGGCATGAAATGTGGTATAACAACTGCCTAAAATAGACAAAAAGACTTCTCGACGTTTCGACCTGAGGGCCTTAATCAGAAGAGCTGTAACGGTGGCGGAAAAATAGACGGATGAAATTTTAAACTGCCAAATAGTCTACCAAATTTCACCTATAGGTACCAATTTTATTCGTTTACACAACGTTTAATTTCAGTTTTCGTACGGATAATATTGCGAATGATGTGATTTGAACTACTTAAATATATAGATGGTCCAAATTTCATCCCTACCAAACCTAAAAATAAAGGAAATAGTGCGTACTGTGAATGGGGTGCAATATATAGCCCACAGCTCATTATCGATATAGTTTGACTTGTGTAAAAAGCAAAAAGAAAACCTTGAAGCGTATAGGAAGAATATATAATTTAAGCAGTTTAGACTATTTCAATACATATGGAGCTACCACATGTATACAGGCTTGATGAATGTCTCGAAATGAAAAAGAAAACATGGACCATCTAGTCCAGTTGACATATTGTACTATACCAAGAGGAACTAGAATCAATCGGTAATGGAATCGTCAAAAATCGTGACGCATTTTCAAAACTGTATATTATCCGATTTCATATTCGACGTGAAATAGCCTGATTTCTAAGTTGTGAAATAGCCTGATTTCTGGGTTGACGACGATTTAGCTTTGTGTAGGCTAATTATATATAAACCTAAATTACATTTTGCATAGTCAGTTCAATGCTAACTCGAACATACATAATTACAATTGGTCAATTTTGACTCAATAATTACAATTTTGCTATATCTACATTTAATACAGCATGTTTTTACAACCAGAACAATAGACCGACTCACGGCAACAAATTGCCAGTTCAAATGTTTATTGATACTTTTGAGAGACGTAGCTATATTTGGCAATGAATTTGCAATAATATTGTCATAAAAACTGCCTGCATGCATTGTACCCACATTGTGTTCTGACAAGAAATCCCGTCTGTGAGTATTTTAATTGAATACGAGGCAGAATCCGCCCAATGTATAAACATTCAAATCGTTTAAAGTTTCTGACGTCAAGTGGGAAGAGAAAAATTCAATTTCCTCCCTGACAATGCAGCCCATTCCTAAACGTGCGTTGTTGCCGATACGATGATGCAACAGTGACGTAAACGGATGTCTTATTTCAGATGAGTGATGTCAAGGCCGTCGCAAGGACATGACCAAGCTGAAATTATAATTCGTGTCGATCGATAATCGTCCATCGACCGAAGGTAACGAGCTGAAGTCTTTAGGTTAAAGTCAACGAAGATGTCGAGAACTGAGCCGAGCGAATCCGGTACCGTGAGAATCAGCCTAATATACGACACTAGCTGTGACTGCCTAGACCTACATGCCCGGATTTTTGTAATGTGAATTAATGATCGAAGCCGTTCTAATGATTGCTAGCAAGCGGATTTTCTGCCAAAAACAATACACATACACACACGTGTCTTTGAGCAGAGCGATTTGCCAAGTGAGAAGATTGAGCTTGTGCTTGGTGCTTATGCGACCCTCTGAAATGCTATTGGTTGTTTCATCGCGCCAAATGGAAAAGGAGTTTAATTGAATGTTCGCGTGCGGTGCCATATTGGATCTACAAATGTACTGGACTGCCGGTTTGACGCTAGTCTGAAATGCCACCCGCAAACATGTTTTTTTGTCAAAACCGAAGACACACCTTGACTTGAACGTTTCCTCATTAACTTTATTCTATTATTGATATATGCTAAAATAGCTTTAACGCATTTTGTTTTGACCTTTTAGCCTGGCCACTGCCATGTTCTGGTGCCCTGCGCAATAGATATGAACTGTAGACTATAACGAAGCTTAAGGCGGATTTCCATTCAGTGCATGCAAAATGTCGCGCGATCGATTTTTGCGATCCCTTTTTTTTTAAATGTGTTCAGTGAAGCACGTCTACGGTCTAATGCCTGTTTCCGTAGAGCAGCCGGATAATATATCATTATATCAGTATAGCTATATAAGCCCAGTAATACCATGAACCATCAATAGAAGAATATATTGCGAGATTCATCGGGAGGCAAAAATAAACGCATTCCTGATTTCTGGACATTTTCAGTCGTATTTATAAAGTGCAGAGGTAACCAGCTATTAGCATTGTTTATCCTCAATTTTCAATATTGAAATGGAAGTAAACAAGGTAGGGATATACTGTATCAATATCTCGTAAACATTCAATCTTTTCGGACACCCTGTTGAGTCACAACGAAAACCTGTTAAGTTGTCAGTTTAGCTCCTCCCATTTACGCAGTTGTATAATACTTCCGATCAAATATTTGTATAAACAACATGGCATCAAATGTGGTATAACAAGTGCCTAAAATAGACAAAACACTTTTTCAAAGGCAGTTGTTATATCACATTTGATGCTAAGTTGTTTGAAGACGCTGCCACGCTGCTCCCTGGTTATATCGGAATTTGTACAGACAATATAAACTTTGCTTTGCTTTGTGCGATTAATATTTGTCGAGTAAAATTTGATGCTTCAAGGACTGCATACACTTACCAAAGCCCTTCAGGCATTAAATAATATACGACAAATGTGAAACAACACTGCAAAGCTTAGCAGCCGGGAGTGGTAGATCTTCCCAGCGAAGTGTACGAGTATTCACGAACTTGTATTTGCTTTCCTCTTATATGGCACGAAAACACTTCACTTCAAAGTTTAGTTTTTTCATAGCTTTGTTTAAAATAATCTGATTAATGCACTTATGACTTATAAATGTAATCTTCGGATAACCAATATAATAATGTAATAAAACTCTATTGAAAGGGTTCTTTTTTTAAGGAGCGAGCTATGAGCAGACCCGAAGTTATCGTTTCGCAATAAGTTACTGATTCAGAAATTTTACAAGAAATGTTGGCCAACTGTATGACAGAGATTCGTAAAAAGCCTACACATGTAATCCCCCCGTGTATGTACAACATTGATCAAAGATGTATGCTACAGGATTTATCAGCACATACCTGAAAATTATCTTCGGTCAAATCACACTGTGGTCAAATATAGCTTCACCAGTTGGCAGTAGCCTTGTCTGCCCTACTTCGAGATTGAAATTGAAATGAATTGAACACTGATAATCTGATGTACATATATGTATAAGGATACCAGGAAATAACGTCGTATGCTTGAACGATTTCTTTGCTAATGAGATTTCGTCAACATTAATTAATGGTATGGATATCCGGGCTCTGCATGCGACTCCTCGGGGCTCGGGACATGGGAAGTATCGTGCGAAGCTCCTCCTACTCACGTAATTCGTCTAATTTATTCGCGGTCTTCCAATTTATCTTCACTTTGATCTCGAAGGAGAGTTACTGGTACAAAGCTACAAGTAGCCTATAAGGCTTATTATATGGGGTCTTTTCAGCCCGGCTACAAGGCTGAAAATTCAGCCCGTTATTGCTATTGTGATATATAGTTATTGGGTTACAGAATATATGTAAATATACAGGTGTTATGTTACCGACAATATATATAGAAGGAATTGAACGTTACTAGAACTTGGTTAGCGTTCAGACTACATGGCCATTGTAGTATTAATAATCTTAGTATACAAATAAATGAACGTATACGGATAAAATAGCTATGAAATGCCAATAAAATATACCTCGCGGTTATATGACAATATTTCAGTCCGGGCTGAGTTTCAGACAGCCCGCGATTTCAGCTACCCAAGCTGAAATTTCAGCCAGGGTTGAAACTTAATAACTTAGGGCGCTTTCCTTTATACGAAAAAAACGGCCAGATCGGTCCTGTTGTATTTCGGTACAGTCAGATTATTGGTATTTAAGAGTGTTTCAAGAACTCTGCATTCGAGTTTATCGTTATTTACATCTGACTAGCGCGGGAAATATAGTTTTATTGCTCTACAATTTCAATTTAACATATGACCTGTCTGACCATTTTGGCTGCTTAATGGAAAGCGCACTTATATTAGTGTGGTTGTCATGTAATCGTAATACATGGTGTATTTTCAGCCCAGGCTGAGTTTCAGGCAAACCGGGGCCTATAAGCATGGCAAGTTTCAGCCCGGGCTGTGCCATGACACGTAAAAATTATTTTAAGACCAGGGGCCGGTTGTATAAAACTATTCAACTACACGCTGCATAGTTAAATCCTAGTTAACTTAGAAATACACAACTATGATTCTCCAATTCTGCCCCTAACTACAGGTAAAAGTTAACTATAGCCTTTTATACAACTGGCCCTAGGGCGACTTTCAGCAAGGGCTGAGTTTGTGAAGGAGGTTGTTAGACCTATTTCGATTCTTCGAGCGCGTTAAAATCCCGAATGACAATAACCTGACTTTGAAGGGATTATGATTGCACATAAAATGAAATAAACAAACGAAAAAGCATTGTCAAGGCGAATTTTTCTGTCCGGGTTAGCCCCTAAAAGAGTTAATGTGCAATACGCGTTGGTACTCGTATAAAAAATACTTAACTTAAATATATTACATGCAGTCCTTACGGCTTTATTGTGTTAAGTTATATGCACATACATAGTTAATAGGAAATATCAACTGGTATGAGCAAATATAATTTTTGGCCATTCACAAATATCAATTCCTTCCAAGCTTGACATCAATCATTTTGTCCAATCTGTCGTTCTTAGGTAAACTGTGGGTTTAGGTAAACATGTAAAGTTTACATATCTTAAAAGCCCAAGCAAAGCTAAATTTGAGCTTAACTAAATTAAATTTTAACTTAAAACAAAGGTGCTTTAGGCGGCTGCCAGCTCTTATGTCAATCAATTGTGTTTTAAATTACGCACCCTCCATTAAACGGCCACATATCAAAGTCCCGAAATTTTTTTAATACAAATAAATATTAACTATCCCTCTATTAAACGGCCACCCCTTAAGCGGCCGCGGCCACCAAAGAGTAGTCCCAAATGATGTTTTATATCAATTTTTACTTCTATTACGCGGCCAGCCTGCAGAATTGAGTCTAGGTAATTGTCGAGAGTCGAGAGCTAAAAGTCGAGCCAATTTGCTTTATTTGTAATATGATGCTTAAAACGTAGCTATACATGTTATAACACATGCCACATTACACCTCAAAAGCATTGTTTGGCTGCATAGAAATGCGAAATATCATTTCCTGCTGTTATTTCGCATCAAATCCCGCCTTTTTAAGCTTTTCCTTTAGCTAATTGATCGAAAATTCATCTCCTGTAAAATGGAATATACAACCTCCACATCTATTTACTCTCTGAAATTCTTCATTACCTACTGCCTGATAAGTCTGACCTATATGAATAACATCTTGAACAATTAATTACAGGTGAGGTGACCTATATGAATAACATCTTGAACAATATAATTACAGGTGAGGTGACCTATATAAATAACATCTTGAACAATCTTAATCCACGAAAGGCAGTTGGACGCGATAACATTTCTCAGCGCTTATTACGTATATCGGCTCCTGTGATATCACAGCCACTAACTAATTTGATAAATCACTTTATTACCAAACGATTATGGCCTATACAAGGTGAATAAAAAAACCCGGACACCTTTGAAATTCAAATTAGTCTTATAGCGGCTGTAATGTGACAGAAGTTGCTTAAAATATTTCATAGGTATACGAAGCATATCATATTAATTAACCTAAAACATAAAGTTTGTCTCCATTGGGACTTAAAATGCATTCTAAGCTCTCTAAATACAAAAGAACAGTTTTATCAAATCGTTTTTGTTGATTGTCATGGGAATTGTCATATTCCAGCCATAAGTTCCCAGCTAATTTGAATTTCAAATGTGTCAGTTTTTTTTACTCACCCTGTACAGGGGGCATGTTGTAAAACCTGGACTGGACTGGACTTGTAAAACCTGGACTGGACTCATTTGTAAAACCTGGACTGGACTCATTTGTAAAACCTGGACTGGACTCGTTTGTAAAACCTGGACTGGACTCATTTGTAAAACCCTCATTTGTAAAACCTGGACTGGACTCATTTGTAAAACCTGGACTGGACTCGTTTGTAAAACCTGGACTGGACTCATTTGTAAAACCTGGACTGGACTCATTTGTAAAACCTGGACTGGACTCATTTGTAAAACCTGGACTTCATCCTAGGCCCCCCATTCTTAAGGATTTACTTCCGTACACGCCTAAAAACGCTCAGGTTGATGCAAGTTGATATAAACAGGATGGAGCAATGTTGTGCTGCCCACATTGTTCAGAGTTGTTATCAACATTGAACAATATTGTTGAAACTGAATCGGGTGTAACAATATTGTTCAATATTGATAACAACTCTGAACAATGTGGGCAGCACAACATTGCTCCATCCTGTTTATATCAACTTGCATCAACCTGAGCGTTTTTACGCGTGTATTCAAGAAAATCCTTAATGTTGCTGGTTTTGTATGTATAAACTAGATATAAAGGTGGATATAGAAATATAGTAACACAATGATTTGAAAAAATAGCTGATGCAATAGAAAATTGAATTTAATAGGACAACACACAGTAAACTGTGTCACACAGTTTTTCTATACAATTATATGTTCTATGGCTATGCTGCTATAATATCAACAATTTTTATATTTGTATTTTATAATATTTTATACTTTATAATGATACTTCTGCAAGTCAATAATTAATGTTTTTTTTATATTCACCCAGTATTAATTTATATCTCTTCTATAATTTTACCATTAAAAAGACATCTAAAAGTCAATTCAACTAGTATTGGCTCTTTTAGAGTCCATTTATGCTAGCGTATGAGTGTGATATAGAGTAATTTTTACAGTGCATGATTATATTGATAATTTCTCTCCACCACAAAAATTGTAAAATGCATGTGATACAAAGTAAAATAGGCTTTATTAGAAATACACAGGGTGTAATTGTGCATATATAGGGCTAAATAGAGATAATTGAATAAGGTAGAATATCACAAAAACAAAAATAAACTAAACTACAACTGATTCTGTCAATTTTTAATTATGAGCGATATATAATAAGGTGACAGAACATATGTTTTGTTACATATCTGAAAAGCCAACTAAAACATTCCTTAACTAAAACATTTATCATCTTAAAACATCCCGTCCCGGCTAGACTGGAACATATAAACAGGCCCTTAGTTGGCTTTTCAGATATGTACCATATGTTCTGTCACCTTAATACGGAAATAGTAAAGTTCGAAAATGTAAAGTAAAAGTTCGAAAATGCAAAACCAAAAATAATAAATCGTTGTCGCATCTGGGCTTCCGTACTTTAATATCTGGCTCACAAAAATTGACAGAACCAGTTGTAGTTTAGTTTGTTTTTAATTTTTTATGGATAGTTAAGGAATGTTTTAGTTGGCTTCTCAGGTATGTAACATATGTTCTGTCACCTTATTATATATGGCTCATAATTAAAAATTGACAGAATCAGTTGTAGACTTGTAGTTTAGTTTATTTTTGTTTTTGTGATATCCTATATACCTTATTCAATTATCTCTATTTAGCCCTATATATGCACAATTACACCCTGTGTATTTCTAATAAAGCCTATTTTACTTTGTATCACATGCATTTTACAATTTTTGTGGTGGAGAGAAATTATCAATATAATCATGCACTGTAAAAATTACTCTATATCACACTCATACACTAGCATAAATGGACTCTAAAAGAGCCAATACTAGTTGAATTGACTTTTAGATGTCTTTTTAATGGTAAAATTATAGAAGAGATATAAATTAATACTGCGTGCATATAGAAAAAACATTAATTATTGACTTGCAGAAGTATCATTATAAAGTATAAAATATTATAAAATACAAATATAAAAATTGTTGATATCATAGCAGTATAGCCATAGAATATATAATTGTATAGAAAAACTATGTGACACAGTTTACTGTGTGTTGTCCTATTAAATTTAATTTTCTATTGCATCAGCTATTTTTTCAAATCATTGTGTTACTATATTTCTATATCCACCTTTATATCTAGCTTACATAAAAAACCAGCAATATTAAGGATTTTCTTGAATACGGAAGTAAATCCTTAAGAATGGGGGGTCCTAGGATGAAGTCCAGGTTTTACAAATGAGTCCAGTCCAGGTTTTACAAACGAGTCCAGTCCAGGTTTTACAAATGAGTCCAGTCCAGGTTTTACAAATGAGTCCAGTCCAGGTTTTACAAACGAGTCCAGTCCAGGTTTTACAAATGAGTCCAGTCCACGTTTTACAAATGAGTCCAGTCCAGGTTTTACAAGTCCAGTCCAGGTTTTACAAGTCCAGTCCAGGTTTTACAAGTCCAGTCCAGTCCAGGTTTTACAACATGCCTGTACAGGGTGTATCAAAAAAACGTTTCCCAGAGTTATCAAAACATGCACACAGAGTAAATTAAAATTAGGTCGATTACGAATGGCTCAGCTAACAACAGAGCAAAGAGTATTTCTTGTTTTAAAGTACGCCCAAACTCAAATCGAAACTCGTGATCGAACTCATAAGTTTAATTCACTTTGTTTGCTTGTTTTGATAACCCTGGGAAACGTATTTTCAAATCCCAGAAGCATAATTAGTTGCACAGTCATTGAAATTCTAATGTATAATCTCGTGCATACAAATTATGGTATTTGCAGTTTTTTTTATACACCCTGTAGTTTGGCGGAGCAGCAATTATGTTAAACCAGTGAGACGCAATCATGCATTGCGACATATGTCAATGCCCGTACAGACCAGTACAATTCGGCAACGCGGCGCTAATGTTTGAATTACGTGACGGACAACTTTGAATCCGGATCCAATATTCTACTTCATGTAACTGTTAAACAACTATCACCATTTATTAGCCCAGATAGTTATCAACCATTATTATGATATTTTCTATGCAGTTTTTCTACAATGTCATTTATTTTTAGGCAAATCCGTGCAATTAATCTTTCCCTTCGCACTCAACTCTCTTCATGTGACGTGCGTAAACTTGATAAGCGGATTTAAAGCCACTTTCCACAGCTCCTTGAATCCAGCCAGCGGTAAATGATATGTTATCGCCAGCAAAATGCACATTACCCATTGGTTCCCACAAATATCTGGAAGTTATAAGGAAAAGAGTTATGTTGGAGGAGCCACATTGTTTCAGTTTGCTTTTGGTCCATGGTAGCACACTGCCTTACAAAAACAGTATGTTACGTTGGAGTTAATAAACTGACTTTATTGACGAGAATTCATCCTGATATGAATCAGTACATAATCCATAAAAAATACATAATCCTAAAATATATTGAATTCAATCGTCAATTCATTGGTCGGCCTATCACAGTATTCAAAATAATTCTTACCAGTTAAAACGAGCATGGTATTAGGCCTATGTAATATTTTCACGACTACAACGCACCTGATATTGTTGAATTGAATGGTCTTCAAGATGCCATAAGCACCTTGATAAGAGGGTTGGTTGTACCAAGCATGGACAATGCATTTTTCAACTGCTCCTTCTTCTTTGATATCAGGGTGAATTTCTCCAACTTGTTCAATTACCTCCTTCTCTGCCTGCTCTTGGGTCAGGGAACCAAAAAGCAATGCTTCATTTTTCCAGGTGTAACTCATAATTATTCCTTGCTTGGTGGACGCGAGATACTCAGGATCGGGCTTCACGTAATGTATTTGACCGATGGGTAGGTTGGTCTTAGAAAAGCCACCATGGATGTCGTACTTCTCCTCTTCCCAGAATCTGGTCTTGGTTTGCAGGAAAATCTTTGTGGCTGGTCCAGTAAACATGTCTTCAATGGCTTGAAGATTCTTTCTGAGGGCCTCCCTGTCTTCCTGGGTTGGTAGGATTGGCTCAAAAGTAATTTGCCGCAATATATTGACTTGAGTGGTGAGGATTACAGCCTACATCAAATAATAGATCATGATAAAACTGATGTTTTACATGTATTTCCTTTAAACTACGAAAGGCGGGGTGTGAAGTTTCCTTCTAAAGATTTACTGATGAATATGAAGCATATTGATAATTTTTCAATATTTCAGGGAGAAGTTCGAATTGTGATATGAAACTTTTGTTGAAGAATAAGTTAACAAGTGGTTAAAACTACATGAAATAAAAGCCTTAAAGGCGATGCACCTCCTACAGAATTCACATCGTATATGTAAATGTATTACTTGGTAGGTTAATCATATTCTATAAAATATTTGTGCATTATGTATAATGTGTCATATGTGTCACATAAGATTCCAAGATAACAAGTTTCACAGTGGGTACCAAGGACGTAGAGACCGGCTGGGCACAGAAGACACCAAAAAGTATAAACCACAGTGCATGGTGTCCTTCCAGCCTTGGCAATCAAACCGTCCTTATACATAACTGCCCTTTTTATTAACTAACAGTGTCCCCCTCTTATCTCTGGGTGCTTTCTACGCCCCCGTGAGGTGCAGTCCGTAATGTAAACAAACGCTTTGTTTACATTACGAATCCGTTTATTTACAAAAATATCAAAAACGTTCGGAGTATTTGACACACATCTAGTTCGCTATGCATCTGGATGGATATGAGAGAGAAAGTTTGTGTTCAGTGATATAAGAAACATAAGAAATTTGAGAAATTTTCACACAAGTTTGACTATCCGTAGTTATGGGCAGAAGCGATTCGCAAAAGCGGTTGTGAACTGCCTTCAATCGGATAATCTTAACCTAAAAATCGAACTTACCCGTGCTGTGTATTGACGTTCTGGTTCTGGAGAGTTTGCATAGCAGGCTACAATGACATAATCGTCGTTTGGCTGAGAGGATGATGAATGATAACGAATTTTGTAAACTTGTTTCTTCATATCGATATCGTCAGAAACCAACGGATCTTTCTTACACGTGAAGAAAGCTTTTGGTAAACTGTGCATGCCACCCACTAGGGTGCGCATATCAGGTGAGGACCAGTTTCCCAGCTGACCGCGAAGATATCCATCCAATGCTCGGTCCAGCTGTTGTGTATAACTAAATACAGAGTATCCACGAACTGCATCGTTTGACCAGGGCAAAAGTTTGCCAAGCATCTTGATATTTAAGCAATCTTGATCATCCTTCGTTAATTTTGCACGAATAACATCAACATTGCTCTCTAGAAAGCTTTCCAATGTAAACTGGCTCCAAATGTTGATCCAGCGTTCCCACACTTTAATTTCTTCTTCTATAGTGGTCGTATTTTTCAACCAAGCAATCAATTGATCTGTGACAACCTTGGTTGTTTTTGAATAATAATCACCTAAATATATTTCAGAACCAGGAAAATCATAATTTAATGACTGGGATTGTGGATGATTAATGCTGTTTGTACCCAACCAAATTTCTTGAAAAAGGTCACGTGCACACCCCTGATACGCCAAAAAAATTAATTTTAATAGATATGCAAATTGATTACAAACACTAGTGGTTGTACTGATTTTTTGAACAACTGAGCTGAAATATTTCGATGTTAATAGTTACATTTTCAATGGAAGTACATAACTATTTATCTACCGTTTTAACCTAGCGCCTCTCGAACAACTGGCCGCAGCATATAATAAGCAAAAAGGTATATTAAAATTAATTAATACGTTTCGTCACAGCGACGTCATCAGACTAAATACAGTTATTAGTTAAGCTCTTCTATCTTCTGTATAACTGGTACATTTAAATTTGAAATGAATAGTAATATTATGATAACAATAATTTTAAAGTAATTGTATACTTTGTTTACTATAATAATATTATAATAGATAGAATAGCTTAACTGTATTTTGTCTGTCACTTGTAGTGCGACGAAACGTTACTCAATAAGTTTTAATATGCCTTTTTGCGTGTAATTTCCTGGGCTTCCTAATGTTTTTCTCTGAAAGAAATATCCCACTGAAATAAATATTTTTCACTGAAACAAATATAGGAAGTAACATGTACAATACCTATATCCTTTACGTCGACACCACTAATCCCTTTCTTCCAATCTGGCCAAACGGTTGCAAAATGGTTCTCTTCCCAAACTAAGGAAGAAATTGAACAACATCAATTGTATAATTTTATCGTTCATTAACCTATGAATCCTACTGTTTGATGGACTAACCCTTATAGGATGGGGAAAGATCGTTAGGTTAGTACGTCATGTTAGCAGAGCGTGGAAGCAATAATTTTCAGAAGGAACTAATAATGCTGAACGTGCATAATATTATACAAATATTAGCATTAAATTTAACCAGTATTTTTGTTAATGCGCTTCTAAACCACTGTTAGCTTTAAAATTTTAGAAAATATTACTTCTGCCGGTCAGGAAAATATTTATGCAAAAAGACATTCAACTTTGTAATCATGCGATTAAAAATTAATATAAAGATTTGCTTTAACCCAGGGTTAAATGAAGAAATAAGACATTTAAAATTAAGGAAATCTACATGGCGTCTATATCTAAAATTTATAATAGCACATACGGTTTGTTTGCTCCTTCAGTCCGTAAATTAAGGAAAGGCCTTTTTCATCGTAATTTGGGAACTCTTTCATCTCTAAATTAAATTTCGTTATGTATCCATCTGTCATAAAATGCGTTTTAGCTTTTGATGAGCCAACGTCTTTGGGAAATCTCATCGCTCCGCCTAAAAATTCAAACGGAGACATATCAATAATTAGGTAGCCACGCGCATTTCAACAACGGTGACTTACTGCCAAATTCAAACGAATCCCAGAAGTATGGATAATAATTGCTATTATTATAGGTGTGAAAAGTTTGTGATACAATCAATTCCCGCACTGACTTCATGGAGAAGGAGGGAAAATATTCTGTGTACAAAAATTTATGGCCGAAAATACTAAGAGTATAGAAACAATTCAACTTAAAATTAATGTTTGTTGGTAATTATCGCAATATATTTATATTCACTTTTAGCCCCACCCTCTTCAACTCATACGCTGCAGAAAGACCAGACATACCAGCGCCAACAATAATCACGTCATATTCAATTACGGGGGGATGGCTCGTTGCCATTCTTGTTGTTGGAGGGGCAGGGCCAGGTACAATATCGCCGTACTCCAAATAGGCCTCGTGCAAGTTATCATGCAGGATTTTCAGCATGAACGTTTTTAAATAGTTACTCTGCTGAATGACTGGAGGGTCTTCTTGACCTTTCATTCTTTCCTTGAATGGTTTCACGCCTTTCAAAAGGTGAATATTTGCAGAGAGAAAGTTTGATGCCATGGTACTAGAAAAAATGAAGAAAAGAATCAATAGATATCACCGAATGTTATAAAGAAAATCGAAGATGATGGAAGAACGTTATAAAGGGGGTGGGGGGATGGCTGGGGAATAATTATATAGTCACATTCAACATTATTATATACTTTCTTTTAGAATTGAATGTTTTCTAGATCATTGTTTTTTTGAATCGGCAGAACCCAAATATTTATATTTACGTTTGTAAAACATGTATTTTCTACAACAGTGGCAATAATACAGCGGATTCCATTTGACTGCAAAACAAGAAGAGTTGTGCCGTCTAATAAAATTATATGCCGTTTGAAATGACACATATGCACTATTGTTTCCAAGGAATAGACGGAGCGTTCCATTTCTGCTCTGACATAGATGCAGTGTTGTTGAAAGAAAGTGTTTTAAAAAAGTGCTTGTGTTAAAAGAAAGTGCTTTCCCATGACTGTAGAATCGCCCTTTCGTATGACTATCCACATTCTAAAATACCGCAAGTGTTTCGAATATGTTTACATGCAAGAATGCGCGCCAAAACCGTGTGACATTTAAAAATTCAAACGTCATAATTTTTCTAAACGACACAATATTCGCTACGAACGCTTTTTTAGTTTACAGTCTACCGGAATCCGCTATAAGGCATTCAAATTAATTTTGAAAAAATCTTGATTTTAATAGGGGATACTTTTTTATAAACTCTGTAGAGTCATCCCAAATGCGACTGCTTCAGATATTGAGAGGTTTAAACCGCTTCAAGTAGGGCAGCACCGTTTTATTGATCTAGTCAATCTTGTCTGAAAATCATGCAGTGTTGAATTAGGCGTCGTTAACCAATTAAAAATTATTAATCATATTGTTGATTACAAAATGGAGGAGGAAAGGACACCGCAAATGCCCTCTAGTAGGCAAATTTGAGTTGTCTGAAGGCCGGTCGCAAAGCTTCGAATTGTTTGCGATATAGAGTTATAAAACGAGCTTGATTGTTATTGATGATACAAGCTACTTCATGAAGAAGACTCCACGCGAAGAAAGTGCCGGATTTAGCTGTAAGGATCTACCTATGTCATATGATCCACGAGTTTTGTGATTTGCTTTTTGTTCGTATAGCTAAGTCCAGAACGGTACTTCGGTTCCGTGTATATAAGTCTTAATTCTGGGTTTAAATTTCAAATTCAAAATACCTTAATAACAACGCTATTGGTTATTCACTTGTAAAGAATATTTTGACATAAAAATCCACCAATTTTAACATGATTGCAAATTAGATAGCAATTCAAGCAGTTGCTGCATGCATGTAGCTATTTCCAACAGCAAATGTGAAGGAGGAATTGCGTTTTATGACTGAAGTGCATGCGTAAGTTTGTATGATATGAACGTGAGTTTGTGACGTGGTTCCTTCTTATCGTACGCAATATAGAATAATTATGTATCCGAATATTAATCTCATCTCATGAATAATGACCATCTCATGGTTTTAAACCCATGATTTCCATCATGGGTTTAAAAGAATTTGATTTTGCTATTATAAGGCACGATTTCACTTAAAAGCTTGATATATCTCTCTATAGTCTAAATGTGTTTACTTCATATTGTGTTAACCTCATTGTTACATATATTTAACCATGGAGTATCCCTTATAATTACTCCGGCGTCAGCGACGGAGTTGAAAATTCGCCTCGGTTTTTTTTTATTTTTTTTTTTATTCTTCGTCGTCGCAAGTCTGAAATGGCGCGAAATATACTACTATTAATATGAGTATTTGAAATGTGTATGTGATTGGATTTATCTATGTCCCAGTCTTGTGACTCTTGTCCCTCTCTCCCAAGAGTTGAGGTGTACAGCTTTGGCTAATTTTCCGATGCGCGATTCCATTTCGCTCGCATGATACGGCAATAAACCGTTCTTTTCATGCTTTTCGATTAAGTTTAGATTGATTGGGGTAAGAATATATTTAATACATGAAGATTCTGGTCCTATTTTAATAATATCGCTGCTATTTCGCCGTTTAGCAAGATGATGTGGTCGTGTATGGGCGCTTTGACACGTCGTAGTTTGCACAGGATTGAAGACTTAATATAACTATATAAGCGCGAATTGCAAAGGCAAAGTGTAAGACAAAGCGAATGTATCATGCCGTTTATTTACATTTTTGAACAATTGAACTTCTATACTTTTTAAAGTACGACGTGCTTCTTAATTTCGCGATCGAACATTTAGGTTCGCAAGGCATCAAAATGCGAATACGAACTGTACTGTTTTTGTTCAGAAGCTCTATATTGAAGACTGGCACGTGCGCCGGAGTTAACGCCAGAACAGGCGTCTTGTTACGTAGCTAATAACACAATTAAATTATCCACCGCAGAGGTATTTGGCTTGGTCTACACAACGAGTTATAGCTATATAAGCACACCAAACTTATATATATTATAATTATTGGCTTGCAATTAGTTCATTCTAACTGTAATTCTAACTGTATATATGCAGGTGATTTAGAAATTTTACAACAAATGCTTGTAATTCACATATGCTATGGAAGACATTCATGCAAAAAAATAACATGTTCACAATTTATCGAGCAGAAATTAAATGCATACCTGAAAATTTCCTGCGGTTCAATGTATGTTCACCAGTTACCTTGTCTGCACTCCTTCGAGATTGAAGTTGAAAAATAAATGAGTCTGATATATATGTAGCTATGAACAAAGATTCATTATATAGCTATGTATATGACGATGTATGACGATAGCAGAATGGAACGTCGTATGCTCCAATTATTTGGTTATTATTAGAATGTTAAAACTACTGGATGCTGATTGGTCTAGAAGAGTACAGTGCATATAACTACGTGCTGCAGCACAAATAATTATTTTGCCCAAAATAAAACGGCGGAAATTAATTGCATAAAAAATATAAACAGTCCTGAATTAACTAAAACATAAACGAAAATATTTCACTCAAACTACGAACACACTGAATACTGCAAACTGAATTGATAAAAGTCTGGCATGCAGGCGTATAATTTGACAAGAAACGTATGCATGCATGCATTAGAAATTGCGTCCTAAAAGATTTCGACAACTGAGGGCTTTGAAAACGTAACGATTTTATATCATGATTATAATGAACATATAAAATAGTAATGGGATCAGCCATATTGTTCATAATTATATGAAGTTAGGAATTCACAGCACTCGTAATGATTGAATATTTTGCGAACTGATTTTAACCAGAGTTGCACTCGCCATCTCGTGACTATCTATGCTAATTATATTTCATCCACGTCCTGTAGAGACCAAACACTATGGTATGGGAAGCTTAGAGGCCTATTAGCTAGCTCCTCGGCCCTCCTACTCACGTAATGAATAAATTCTTTATCCCTTGTGATATTGGTCTTTCCGTTTACCATAATTTTCAGTGAAGGAAATTTAACAAAAAAAATTTATAAGATTATAAGATTTGCTCATACGCTCTAATTTTGTCGAATCCATTTCACTTGTGATGTACGTCTAATTTTGGCAAAATATTCAAACACCACTCGATCGTAGTATTAAGTCCAGTTGTACTCGCGATGGCATGACTACCTATGCTAATTACATTTCATCCACGTCTTGTTGAGACACGAAACATATGGTATAGGAAGCATACAACCTAATCAGCTCCTCCTACATACGTAATGAATAAATTATGTCTTTCACTCTCAGTTTTTCCGTTTATCATAATTTTTAGGTCATAGTGTCTGTTCACACAACCCAAAACTGTCGAATTCAATTCGCTTCTGATTTATGTTTTATAATTATAGTCTGTTGACTTGCAATGTACGAGGGTAGAAAATTAACTAAAACCAATGCAGTCAGGGGCGCCGGAATATGGATAATAACGGGGGCAGATATTCATATATTCGTGTTCTGCATTATTAACTCCTTTTGAAATCGATTGTTTTTACGATCTGCGAACACGAATATATGAATATCTGTCCCCGTTATTATCGATATTCCGGCGCCCCTGCATGCAGTACAGCTATATAACCTACTGTAAATTTATCGATCGTAATTATCGCTACTCTGGTTTTAATAAATGAACGTAATCACCACACAAAGATTAACTTTCACGAGCCAACGTTTCGACACTCCGGTCTAGTGTCTTCATCAGGGGTGACTATATACATTTGATTTGGGTCAGACAAAACTTATTTATTGACTTTCATCTCATCTATTGTCTGAATTGCATTCGACTTGACCAAAATGCGACGTATTACCCATATGTCTCCGTAAGTTGTGTTTTAAAAATTTTACTTGTTTTTAACGTGCTTAGGCTATACATTGTGTTGAAAATCTTTCAGTGCAAATCCAATTTTTTGTGAATATAAAAAAACAGTAGCAGTTGGAGTTTGTGAAGTTCTTGGAACATTATTAGTGAAAACGTGAATGTAATTGATACTCCAATATCGTCTCCGAGGATTGAACTGATGATTTCACATTGTTTATTAACAAATCCACTACCTCCTAATTAATTGATGCATTGCGGCGCAAGTCAGCGCCCGTAAGGATCAACACCATTCTGCAAGGCGTTGTGATTATTTGAATTTACATGGCGAGTGACTTTAGTCCAGATCCCGGCAAGACTCTGATTCATGTAACTGTTACACAAATCCTTTCCAAAGAAATCTTTATTTTTACCGTTTTACCGTTTTCTTATAGGACATAGTTTGATCAAGAAATCACTATTTATTTAACCCAGATAATTACCAACCATTATTATGATATTTGCTATGCAGTTTTTCGATGATATCGTTTATTTTTAGTAAATCCGTATAGTTAACATCTCCCTCCCAGTTTAACTCTCTTCATGTGACGTGCGTAAACTTGATAAGCGGATTTAAAGCCACTTTCCACAGCTCCTTGAATCCAGCCAGCCGTAAATGATATGATATCGCCAGCAAAATGCACATTACCCATTGGTTCCCACAAATATCTGTATAAGTTATAAGGAAAAGAGTTATGCCGGAGACGCCAAATTCTTTCAGTTTGCTTTTTCTCCATGGCAGCATGCTGTCTCACAAAAACAGACGTATCATGTAGTTTAACACGTTTGAGTTAGACCAGTTCGTATATAAACCGAAGTATTGACTTTATTGGCGAGAATTAATCCTGGGATAAATCAATACGACACATAATTTTAAAATTTATTGAATTGAACCGTCAATTTATTGATCGATCTTTCAGAGTATATAAAATAATTCTTACCATGTGCATGTAAATGTGCAATGTGCATGGAATTAATCCTATGTAATATTTTCACGACTACAACGCACCTGACATTGTTGAATTGAGTAGTCTTCAAGAGTCCATAGGCACCTTGATAAGAGGGTTGGCTGTACCAAGCATGGACAATACATTTTTCAACTGCTCCTTCTTCTTTGATCTCAGGGTGAATTTCTCCAACTTGCTCAATTGCCTCCTTCTTTGCCTGATCTTTAGTCAAAGAACCAAAAAGCAGTGCTTCATTTTTCCAGGTGTAAATCAGAATTATTCCTTGCTTGGTGGAATCCACATAGTGAGGATCGGGCTTTACGTAATGTATTTGTCCAATGGGTAGGTTGGTCTTAGAAAATCCACCATGGATATCGTACTTCTCTTCTTCCCAGAATCTGGTCTTGGTTTGCAGGATAATCTTTGTGGAAGGTGCTGTGAACATGTCTTCAATGGCTTGATGACTCTTTCTGAGGGCCTCCCTGTCTTCCTGGGTTGGTTGAATTGGCTCAAACGTAATTTGCCGCAATATGTTGACTTGAGTGGTGATGATAACAGCCTACATCAAATAATTGATAACGATAAAACATCAACCTGTTTTTCTTTTAAATGTACGAACCACGAAGCGTGAAGTGTCCGGCGCAGTAAAGTTGTCTTCCTGTTCAGTTCGGACCGAAAGAAATTTGGGCAGAATTTTTGAATGTTCAAGCGAAAAACTTCTGATTGAAATACACAATAGCCCTTTTCAGCTTGTAGAAATACACAATACACCTTTCCAGATTTTTAATTTCATGGCCAATTTTTTTTACATCTTTATGAATATAAAGCATGTAATATTTATAGCTACATTTTCAATATTTCAGGGGAATTTCGAACGTGATAACTATCTTTTGTTTAGAATAAGTTAACAAGTCATCAGAGCTAGATGAAAGCCCAAAAAGCGATATTTTCTACCGAATTCCCATCATAAATGTACTGCTTAACATTTCAATCATACATATGGCAATTGACATAATGTGTTGCGATATGTGTTACAAAAGTTAGCAGGGATAAAAAAAATAATAAAAATAGTCTTCCTTTGCTACTTTTGCTGTTCGATGACTGTGAAATCAATGAAAGAAATGAATAGTTAAAATACCTTTAAAATTTATAGCAGAACCAAGTCGTCATGCAGGCTACAAAACTGAATAAACTTACCCGTGCTGTGTAGTGAGATTCCTGTTCTTTGCATAGCAGGAAACATTTGCAAGGATTTGCATAGCAGGAAACAATGACATAATCGTTGTTTGGCTGAGAGGGTGATGAATAATAACAAATTTTGTAAACTTGTTTCTGCTTTTGGATATCGTCAGTAACCAACGGGTGTTCTTTGCACTTGAAGAAAGCTTCTGGCAAACTGTGCATGCCGCCCACTAGGGTGTGCATATCAGCTGACCACCAGTTTCCCAGTTGATCGCGAAGATACTCAACCAATGACTGGTCCAGCTGTTGTGTATACGTAAATACAGAGTATCCACGAACCGCATCGTTGGACCAGGGCAAAAGTTTGCCAAGCATCGTAACATCCAAGGAATCTTGATCCTCCTTTGTTAATTTTGCACAGATAACTTCTTTACTGCTCTCCAGAAAGCTTTCCAATGTAAACTGGCTCCAAATGTTGATCCAACGTTCCCACACTTTGATTTCCTGGTCTATTATTCAACCAGGCAATCAATTGATTTGTGACAACACCGGTTGTTTTTTTGTAATAATCATATATGTTATATATCGAGTGGAATTATACACACTTCAAACTCAAGCAGGAACAGTCGATGGAAAAGTGAGTCAACCATAGGTCCTCCGGCAGGAATCGAACCTACGCTTTTGCGACGCTGATGCAATGCTCTTGCCACTGAGCTACAGGTGTTGATATACAGGGTGTCCCAAAAAAACGCAACCACTTAAATATGCAAGAATATTAATATTGTTCGGGTTTGCACCATAGTTCAGCTAAAATGATTTTTAGCATTGTAAATGAAGGATTAATAGCCATTTCCCATTCCCAGAGGTGCTTATCTACTGCGCTTTAGGGCTGTATTAATGTTCTGCATATTTAAGTGGTTGCTTTTTTTTGGGATACCCTGTATAGCTATACAATACCGATATCGTTAATGGGGATGCCACTAATCCCTTTCCTCCAATCTGGCCAAACAGTTGCAAAATGGTTGCTTTCCCAACCTAAGCAAGAAATTAATTAAGGAACATCAGTTGCAGAATTTGTCGTTGAACAGCTCAAAATAGTTGCCGTTTTGCGAATTGCTAGAATCTCTTTCTTTTGCAGGGCAATGACAAAATTAATCCATTCCATTACATGAGAAATTAAACATATATGATTTGACAATAGTATAATTAATATAGGAAAATCAAGGTCAACGTGCCATCATCCATGACCAAAGATTTTTTCAAATAAGAAAATAAAATCCAGCTCTTAGAAGAAAGAAAGCAGCCAAAAAAGGACGCGCTGTGGGGCATTTTATTTAGGGTTGAATAGTGGGGGAGAATAGTTCGCTACCGAAATATTTAGGGCGTATGAGATCTGTAAGTAATGTTTACACCAGTAGCTTGTTGGATTGAATATAACATTTATGTGAACAGTAACGTAGCCAGCCTGATATTTTGGTGTTCCCTGACTGTGAAAACAATAGATTTCTGAAGACATGAATGATTATAATAACTCGAAATTTACATAGTGGGACAAAATCATCAGGCTGGCTACGCCACTGTATGTGTAATGAATTTGTAATCAATCAGATTTGAATAGATATGCAAATCAGTTACAAACACTAGTGGTTGAATTAGTTAACATGCACCGAAGGACTTATAACCTCATTAACGAACGAAACTTACGTTAAGATCATTGTTCCCTATTGGCTGGGACTGCCAAATTCGTTCGTAACCGTAAAATGCCAGGCCTTCATTGGTTGAACGTTTAGTGTCAGGTGTGACATATTCATAATCGAAAATAAGTTTGCAGTTCTGTTTTGCATAAGTTCTTTCAACGCAAGTTGAATGCTTAAAATATATTCTATTCTTAAAACGGTCTGGTTCACACTTGTCTTGGATTCCCTTTGGGCTTTGTCTGAGGCCGCTGGTGTGCAAAATGCTTTTCTGAGACTATCGGAAAGTAATATAATGGATCCCCGATTCTTAGGAGCTAGTGTGAACCAGGCCTTACACTGATCGATCATTATGTATAGCTTATGCATGTACATTCAAGTTCATTTCACATAATGTAGACCCTAAAACTCGCTCGACTTCATGGATTACCCTGCGTCCTCTCATTGAAGGCAGTAAAACTTTTAGTTCTATAAAAGTTCATCTATTCTCGCAGCTTGGTAATTTCAACTAAATAAATTTTTGTTTGTAAAAGATTGCTTTATATCTCTATATTTATTAATTGTGCTGAGAGAAAGCATGTCTCTTGCATGGACTAATAGTCTTGATCTATCTTATGAGATGAAAATTTACACCGGCATTGCATGCGAGTTATAATTGTTTTCTAACTTCTCACAATGTTGTGCATGTTTCGCGACGTCATACAAAAATTAATAGTTTCAGGTGCAGGTATATGGGATGCTTTGTCGACAATCTTATATGCTACAAAATTTATGGAAAATACCGAAAATATAACGAATTTTGAAATATTGTAATCGACTAATTACTTTTAGCGAACATCAACATGCTTAAAAGCATACATCGTCTCATTTGCAATTATTATACATCTAGCCAATCACAATTAGAACTTTTACGTTCGCACATTTGCATAACTGAATATAACGTCGCTTACGGTCTTCGGTGCATGTTAACTATTTTGCCGATACATATGCATATCTATTCAAACTAATTTTCAGAGGTATGCAGGGTGTGCGTGTGACCTAATTCACGAAATTTGGTTGGTTATAAACTATTCAATTATTCTTGAATTTTACAATATCACATACACGTGATTGCTCCTTCAGCCCCCTGCGCTATTAAACTAGTATTCCAATTGGGCATTAAAGCATGTAAGAGTAAACATTTATTAAGATCTATAATATCTCATACGGTTTGATTGCTCCTTCAGTCCGTAAATATAGGAAAGGCCTTTTTCATCGTAATTTGGAAACGCTTTCGTCTCTAATTCAAATTTCTCTATATACCCATCGGTCATAAAATGGGTTTTAGTGGCAGGCGAGCCAACACCATCAGGCAATCTCATCGCTCCGCCTAAAAATTCAAGCGAAAAAGTTCCAATAATTTAGCGAATTTTAAAGTAACGCAAATTATATAGATTTATATCAAAAAAGTTTGTGATACAGTTAAACCCTGCAGCGTCTTCACAGAAAAGGAGGGACAATAAACTGTGTTAATGGCATGGTCGGAAATACTAGGGGTATAGAAACAATTCAACTAAGAAAATTGTTGGTAGTTTATTGCGATATATCTTTAGAAATTTTGCCTTCAGTAGGTGTACCTTCGCCATATAGACCAGGTGCAAGGCCTGCATCTTTTCCATAAGTGAAAACTCTTCCACCATAACGATCAGTCTGCTCCAGAATTTTTACTTTTAGCCCTACCCTCTTCAACTCATACGCTGCAGAAAGACCAGACATTCCAGCGCCAACAATAATGACGTCATATTCAATATTCGGGATGTGGTTCGGTGCCATTTTTGTTGTTGCAGAGGCAGGGCCAGGTTCGTTATCGCCGTTCTCCAAATAGGCCTGATGCAAGTTATCATGGAGGATTTTTAGCATGAACGTTTTTAAATAATTACTCTGCTGAATGATTGGGGGGTCTTGATCTTTGATTGTTTCCTTGAATGGTTTCACATCTTTCAAAAGGTGAATATTTGCAGAAAGAAAGTGTGATGCCATGGTACTAAAAGAAATTAAGTATAGATTTCTTATAAATATCGAAAATTAGCAATGAAATCATAGACGGTGAAAGGCTAATATTTACATATCCATTCACATTCAGCAATTCTATAGTTCCTTTTGAAATTGTTTGTTTTAATGGGCGTAGCCAGAAGCTTAATTGTAGGGTGTATAATTTTATTCATATAATCGTCTTATGCCTGAATGATTTCTTTTGTACGCTATTGTTGCAATGATATGGCTGTAAACATGCATATTTAACAGTTACTCTGCGAACTCGAGTCCTATAAATTATGTGCTGATAACACAACTTTCGAATTTATTAGTAATTTATAGTGTCAGTGAGTACAATTTATAAAAAAAATTGAATAACTATCCGGTATCGAACATTTTATTTCAGGAAGGCGAAAACAAAACCCTGCATTTTGTAACCTATATTCTTAGCCTACCGTTGAATGCATTTATTTCAAAGTTTGTCGTCCTTTCGGTGCACTTTGGGGTATTTTTATCAAGGAAAACTTGAATTTCATCGTCGCTTAAATTCCCAAATCTTGCCGCCAATTTGTTTACGTTTCTCTAACATTCTCTTCCGATGTGTATATAATAAATGAATACAACCTCCCAATTAAGCAGTTTAGCAACGGCTATTGATTGTTTCTTATATAAAATTAATATTCCCTCCACATGCACACTTAAAGTGCCTATATCAACCTCAGGGTTGATATGGGTATATGGGTCGGAAATATCGCGAACTTTCAACAATAGCAGAGAGTTAGTCGCCAATGGTGAAGTCAATAATGGCATAAAGAAATCGAATTTGCATGTGAAAGACAAAAGAGGCGCTTTATCTATGGAGGCGAATTTGCATATCGAGGTCAACAATCATGAAGCGGAGGCGAATTTACATATATCTGAGGAGGCTAATCTGCATACTCAAGACCCCATGATACGGAACAAATTAAAATAAAACCAGGTTTACCACAATTTAATGTACAGCCCTCAACGATAAAATCTAAGATGTGGGGAAATATGAGCCACCAGAGTTTTTGCGACGAAATACATAAAATATATAACGAAGTTGTGCATTTTAGGAAAAATATCTTTAAACTACCTTCTGGCAGAGCGGGTAAACTCTTTATTGAAGAAATGATATTCTGGCTTAAGCAGTTCAACTCCAATTCAGATTTGAATTCGGTGGCCCTAAAAGCATTTATGGTGCTTCCTTCAATTATTTTGCAAAAGCCGTCAGCTACTTCCAAGAGTAAAGAGCATAGCGTGGCGGTAGGTCGGAGATTAGCTCTGTGGAGACAGGGAGATTTGAAGATGCTAATGAAGGAAGTACGATTTATCCAAGATAGATTTGTTAAATGCTCGAGAGCCAGATCCGTTGAAGACGTCTCCAGAATCTTTGCCAAGTTAGTTTTTCAAGGGAAAATTACAGCAGCTATAAAAATGCTTGATAAAGAAGGTTCGACTGGACTATTAAAGCTATCTGATGAAGTTATAGCCCAACTGAAGGAGAAGCATCCCTTACCCGCTGAGATTGAGGAGGAGTGTCTTCAGCATGGCCCTGTCGACCTCGTTCCACCAGGCATTTTCGAGTTAATAGACGAGCAGCGAATCTTTGATTCCGCCTTGAAGACCAAAGGCTCTGCAGGTCCCTCAGGTATGGATGCAGATCTATACCGCCGAATTCTGTGTTCAAAGAATTTTGCTGCA